TCTGTCAGAACTTCTACGCAACGGTCTCCTATGTGGGGAAGGAATGCTTGACATGCAACTCAGCTCGCCCTGAGTTCCTTGATATTGATATGGAGAGTTAACTCATTCTGCTGCCACAGATCCTGAGTTTTCAGATCTTTGAGGTGAGCCCCCCATCCCAACACGGATGCGTCCGTGACCAGAGTCAGGGTGGGTTGGGGAGGATGAAATGGGACCCCAGCACCTACCATTTGAGGGTCCAGCCACCAATGCAGGGAGTCTAGCGTGGGGCTCGGGACCGTAAGCACCATATCTAGGTTGTCGCGGCCCGGTCGATATACAGACGCCAACCACGTCTGTAGGGGTTTGAGACGTAGTCTGACGTGTTGCACTACGTAGGTGCAGGACACCATGTGATCCAGCAGCTTGAGACACTGCCTCGCTGTGGTGGTGGGGAACCTGCAGAGGTTGGTGAGTATGTTTGTTAGAGCCAGATGCCGGGCCTCTGGGAGGAAAGCCTGAGCTTGGGTCGCGTCTAAGACTGCTCCGATAAACTCTATCGTCTGTGTCGGTGAGATACAGACTTGCTGGCATTCAGCATGATGCCCAAGCGATTGAACATGTCCATGACCAACCGCACCTGAGACTGGACTTGCTGGCTAGATCGACCCCGAATAAGCCAGTCGTCGAGGTACGGGAACACGTGAACGTGATGACGGTGAAGAAAAGCTGCCACAAGCGCCATGCACTTGGTGAAGACGCGAGGGGGCTGTGCACAAGCAGAACGGAGGGCTGTGAACTGGTAGTGGGAGGGCTGTGAACTGGTAGTGCATCTTGTGCACCATGAACCGGAGAAAATGTCTGTGGGATGGGGTGATTGAGAAGTGAAAGTAGGTGTCTTTCATATCAAGGGCAACATACCAGTCTCCCGGGTCCAGGGAGGGGATGATCATGGCCAAGGACACCATGCGGAACTTCAGGTTGATGATATGTTTGTTGAGCTCCCTGAGGTCCAGAATGGGCCTTAAGCCTCCTTTTGCCTTGGGAACGAGGAAGTAGTGAGAGTAGAAACCCTTGCCCCTGAGCTCATGGCACTTCCTCCACTGCTCCTAGGGCAAGGAGTGTCTGTACCTCCTGGATGAAAAGTTGCTCGTGAGAGCGGTCCCTGAAGAGGGATGGGGAAGGAGGGTGGGGTAGACCGGAAGCGGATAGAATATCCCGCCTCTATTGTGCGAAGGACCCAACGGTCCGATGTAATAAGGGACCAGGCATGGTAGAAACAGGATAGATGGTTCAGGAAGGGATAGCTGGCCAGGTTTTGCACTGGTAGTCCGTCCTCGAGTGCACCTTCAAAATGGGCACTTAGGGCCGGGGGGGGAGGGGGGGGGATTGGCCCTGGCTCTGTCCCAAAGGAGGGTGTGATGGTCTACGCCGTGGGTACCTGCTTCTCCTATGGGGGAAGTCCTCCCTAGGTCTGGGCGGGAAGGGGCACTGTTGTGGGGGCTGAGGCTTAAACGGCTTTCTTTGAGTTGCTGGGGTATGCATGCCCAAGGATTTTATGGTGATCCTTGTGTCTTTCAGGATATGCAGGCGAGAGTCAGTTTGCTCAGTGAACAGGCCCTGGCCATCAAACGGAAGATCCTGAATGGTGTGTTGCACTTCAGGTGGGAGGCCAGATGACTGGAGCCATGCGTTCCGACGGAGGCCAAAGTGCAAGCTGCCGCATCCGCGGCGTCAAGGGAGCCCTGAAGGGAGGTTCGGGCTGCCAGCTTTCCCTCCTCAGCAATGGCCCCCAGTTCCGTGCGGGAGTCAAGATGGGAGGAGTTCCTGGAACTTAAGGATTGCAGACCATGAATTATAACTGTATCTGCTGAGAATCACAAGCTGGTTCGCGATTCGAAGTGAGAAGCCCCCCGTAGAATTTTCCTGCCAAAGAGGTCCATGCATTTCAGCTCCATTGATTTTTGGGGCAGGCCCCTGTTGGCCCTGTCTCTCCTTTTCATTAACCACATCCACCACGAGAGAAGATAGGGTGGGGTGAGTGAAAAGGTATTCATATCCCTTATAGGGACAAAATACTTTCTCTCCACCCCCTTGGCTGTAGGGTGGATGGACCGGTGCCGCGATGGGGACAAGGGTCGGGTCAGGGATCTGCGACAGGCCTGAGAGCAGTGCCGCAATGACAAGCAGAGCCACGCAGGGGATCGGTGCGCAGATCGGTGCCACTCCAAACGGTGCCGTGGGGTCGCCGAACACGATCTGGACCTCAAGTGGGACCATGTCCTGGCGGCCGACGATGACCTCGACCGTGAATGTCTCAGAGGGTCGGGGCTGCGAGACCAATGCCGCAAATCTAACCGGCATCGTGAGTCGGGACTGGTGCGGTGCCAGGACTATGAACCATGCCCGGCAGGGTCGGCTTTAGGCCGATTCAGCTGAATTGGGCCCCACGCCAAGAGGGCCCCGCGCTGCAGCTCTCCACCCCGCCCCCAGCTCACTTCCCCCTCCTCCCCTCCCCTGAATGCTCCGCCCCCTCCCCTGCTTCCCGCGAATCAGAGATTCGCGGGAAGTCTGAAAAGAAGCAGGGGCGGGCCGGCAGCACAAGGTAAGCTGGGGTGGTGGGGGCGCAAGAAGGGCTCCAGGGAGGCGCGGCCCGTTCCCGCAGGCCCCAGCGGCTCTGGCCCGGCTTGGCTCCAGCCCAGCCCCCGCGGCGCGGCCCGGCTCCGGCCCGGCACCGGGTCCTCCCCCGTCCCCCCCCCCCCGGCACGGCCCCCGCAGCGCGGCTCCGGGTTGGACCCAAGCCCGGCAACCCCGGCAGCCCCGCCCCCAGGAATCGGGCCCCGCTCTTGCTAAAGCCGGCCCTGATGCCCGGACTCAGAGCGGTGTGGGGAAGCTGGTCTGGGAATGGGCGGCCCAAATATCGCCGATTTACCCCTCGACGGTACTGGGAGTTGTGCCAGGAGCGGCGCCGGGATGGGGGATACCGGTGCTGTCATCTCAATAAGCCTTCTAGCAGCCTCGAAGGTGGAGGGCAACGTAGCTTCCTCCACTTGAAGAGGTCCCTGTGGTGTGGGACTAGTATGAGCAGATGGAGGTCTCACGGTTTTGTCAGGCTTTGGGGCCTGGTCAGAGCTGGCTCGGTCGGGGTCGCGGTGACTGCCTCAGGCCTTTTGGAATGTCCTTCCACGGCTTGCTTCTTACAAGCGACCGGGGAGTGGGAGCGGTGCTGAAGTAGACGTCTTTGGGGCCCAGGAAGATCGTCGGTCGTGAGGAGTGTGACGGTCCTTGAGCGGTGCTGTGGACAGCACTGCTGGGGGAGCCCTGCGCACCGAGGCGCTCGGGCCCACATCTTGAGGGACGCAGTGCAGACTCTATGAGGAGTTGCTTGAGGTGGATTTCCCTCTCTTTCCTCGTGCGGGGCTTGAATGCTTTACAGATTTTGCACCTGTCCGCCTGATGAGTCTCCCCCAGACACCTAAGGCAGGAGTTGTGGGGGTTGTCTGTAGGCATGGGCTTGCCTCAAGAACTGCAGGGTTTGAAACCCTGGGATGGCATGCTCCAGAGCCCCGCAGGGCACTCATTGAAGGGGAAACCCCCCCAACCACTATACTACACTTAACACTAAGATAAGGGCTAACCATTAACTAACAAAGGGAACTATTTACAACGATAGGAGAATGCTAGGGAGTAGTGGAGCACTTGCTAGCAAGAGACCACTGTTCCAACAACCGTCATGGGGGTAAGAAGGAACTGAAGGGGGGTCGGGCCGGCAGGATCTTATATAGAGCGCCATACTGGCGCCACTCCAGTGGGCTCCACAGCCGGCCCGACGGGTAGCTGCTAGGGAAAAGCTTTCCGACTTCCGTGCACGCGTACACCTAACTGGAATTGATATGAGTAAGCACTCGAAGAACAACAACAGGATAGCCCTGCCTGCAGACAATGGGTGCATGTCTAGTTGGCGAGCAGCCAGTTTTCTGATGAAGAACAGTTCAACAATTTTTCAAGGAGGAGACTACTTTTTCTAGACATCTGTACAAGCAAAACAACTGGAAGGCATCTAAACATTAATTTTACCATATAAAAAAATCCTCATTATGAAAATCCGTTTTGATTTGAGAGAGTGTGCTTTTGAAAATAAAGTGGTAGAAAGCTCATATGCTAAGTTAGTTTTCTTGAGAACGCTTTCACAACTGAGGTCCCAAACCAAGAAAGCATTTTTGCTTAACTTTAAGCAGGCACGTAGTCCTACAAAAGTCAATGGCTCTACTCACATGCTTATCTTCAAGTACACACTTACATGTTTTCCTAAACCAGGGCCTTAGATACATGGTGCAACACACTGCTCTAAATCCAGGCAATACCTAAGTTGCTAAACATTCAGCAAATGGTTAAATGATATCCTGAATCAGGGCCACAATTTGCAGAAGACTGACTCCCTTCAATGGGGTTTCTAACATGCATGGATCAGGACATTCTGGTGGTGTCTGTCCAAATAGTTCCAGACTATTTTATTTACACGTGTCTGTGCTTCTCCTGCCTCTCTTCCCCGTGGTCCCACATGACAACAGTGCTTTGGAGTCCTAAAGAGTAAATTTCAGTGTTTTGTTTTATTACTTTTTCAATATTATTCTTTTTAAAAAGAAAGAAACCCTGTGGCAATATTAAACCAAAGCTCTTATGAACATTAAGGTGGTATGATGAAGCACGCAAAAGCCAGAAAATACCAAAGTTAAAAATTCATGTCAAACTCCTTTCTGCCACCTTGTGTGTAAACACAACAATGCAGACTTTAAGAATATGATCACATTTCTAAAATACAATGTAATTACACATAAAAGAACATTAAGGTTGCAAATTCAAGCATCTGTAAGCTAGGAAATGCTAGAATTAAGATTGCCAGCTATGTCGTATAGTTCAAATTTAATGGTACGTAATGACAATCATTAAGTAGATTTGCAGCTGAAAGAGTGACCAGTACAATTATACACTTAAAAATTACACTAATTTGTGTTACTTACTGTACTTTTATCTTTCAGAAGCTTTTCTATCACTTCAATTAACATTTCCTTTTGCTCTGGGTCAAGACTAAAAAACAAAAACAAAGCAAAGGATATATTTTAAAAATGAAAAAAACCTATTTAACATTTTATGGTCAGGTTTACGCTTGAAACAAAGATAGGCTAGGCAGTGAAGAGGGGAAGGAAACAAACAAGGGAAAAGTGAAATTATTTTCAAACCAAACACATGGTATTGTGGGGAAGGAGAAGGATGCAGAGGAGAATGCGAAACATAAAACGGCAAAAAATAGTTCACATTAATTTCTGTTCCAGCAGTCAGACAGTTTACTAGTCTGGAACTAAGCAGGCATCCCTAACTCACAAAAAAAAAAACCACCCACAAAACACAAACATTCAGAACAGGGTCAGAGGATTTGGAGGGTTAGTTTTCTGTTTAATAAAAATAACTTTTCTAACCCCCTTTATCAGTAAAGATCAGAATTTTGAAAACTGCTTGTTCCATTAGTCTGACCAGTAACAGGCTGGAGTCCTGGAAACTAGTTTTTAAAAAAGCTATTCGAAAGAGCACTACATTGAGTTGCTATGAGAATTACTGGGAAATACAGACCTCAAGCTCAAAGTTCTATATTAATAGGTATAGGGAAGATACAGGCTATATTTCAGAGAAGGAAAATATGAACATGAGTTATGATGCCATGTATATGCACACCTCTGAGATTTACTGCAGCCTTAAACTGTTAAGCTAGGAGAACACAAGCAAGCATGTCAGCTTCAACTGTCCACTTCCCAAGGGAAAAGACATTGAAAGAAGGCACCACCATACATTTTGAAAAGTAATTACTTGAATATCTGAAAACCCTTTCAAAGTGATCCATATCTTTCATCTTCAAGACTTAGGGACAAAACTCTCATTCACTGAGTTGACAGAATGGAATAAACAAGATAAGAACACTTATGGACGAAAGAAAAACTGTGATTCTTATCAAATAGCAAATAAAAGGTTTTACTATGGAGACTGAAGACAATTTCAGGTTCTTTAAAGCTGACATATGGCAGAGATAAGCAGAAATTAACTAGAGCACAGGAATTAAATGCTGACAAATTAGATTTTTGTCTGTTCTCAGTACCTTTCCTTTATTTTGAAAAATATGGTTATTTACCCTACAGTAACGATGGTTCTTCAAAATGCATTGTCCACCAAAGATCCTATTCTAGATGTGCATGCATCCCATGCACACAAGATGAGACTTATTTTTTAATAATAGTGTCCACCTCCAGGGCTGTGTCTGCACTCCACCTACCCTTCCAATCATCTTAGCCAAGGACATAAGGGGCAGGAGAGCCCCAATCACCATTCAATTCCTTTACCAATAAGAATCCCACGTGGATAGGGCTGCAAATCATTAGGTAAGGAGACCTTGGCCTTTTTGAAATATGGTGTAAAGGGGACCAGCAACAAAGGCCTGAATTACTTCCACTCTTATGGAAGAAGTAACCACCATCCAAAAGGCTGTTTTCATTGACAGGTGCTAAAGAAAGGAGGTTACCATGGGCTCAAAAGGGGAGGAAAAGTCCCATTAAGCCAGTGAGATTGAGGTTCCAGAAAGGCGAGAGGAGGGGGGTGAAGAGGATCCCTAACAGGTGGGAAGATTGAGTGAGGCTCTTCAAAAACCTTGACACCATGAGATTTGAAATTTAACCCCAAACTGGAGGGCGATTTGCAGAGAGTGCTGCTAAATATACCATGACTGAACTAACAAAGTCCAGATTGCTTCAGGGTAAGTAAATAGTTCAGAATAACCAAGACGGAGGTTATCAATGCAAGAGCTGCTGCTGAGCCGCCCAATCAGATATGGGTATATTACCCAAGCAAGCAGCGGTGGCTACCTAAGCACCTAGTGGAATGGGCTCTGCAAGTTCAGCTCTAAGTCTTTTTGGTGGACAGTTTTTTGATTTTTGATGTTTTAGAATTATATAGCAGCAGTTCCCCTCTAATAAGTCATCCAACCAGCATCTAGGCTGTCAAGTGTAACAATGCAGAGTACAGGTGCAAAATCCAGCCTTGCTTCTTGGAAATTATGTCAGTGAAAAGTGATTAAGGTGACTGGTGGACAAGTTGACAAATTCACCTCGGAGAAAAACAAAAAATGCCTGGCCATGTGGCGGCTATCATGATCACATTGCCTACATCCGATTATAGTTTCCTGAGGACACTGGGTATCAAAGAAATTGGTGGGAAGGCACAGAACAGTCTCTGTGCCCACAGGAAGTGGAAAAGAGGCCATCAGCAAACCCAAGCTTGTGACGCCGTTGGAGCAAGATGTCCAACGTTTATTGCCGAGGACTGTAGAAAAGAGGCCCACTATCAGGAATCACCACCACCACGATGTCGTGGGAGGACTCAGTGATTGAAGGGCCATTCATAGTTCTCTGAAAAGTCCCTGCTGAGTTGATCTACAAAACACTCTACTGGATCAAGTAGGCGGAGAGCTCCTCATGTAATGTGACGAAGCAGGCACCAATTTTGAAGATGTGTCACTTTTGACCGAGTAGGGAGGCTCTCTCCCCCTACCTGCCTGTTGACTGAGTGAATCGCAGTAGTGTCTTTCAGAATGAAGAATGAGGACTCAAAGAAGGAGTAAGAAAGCCTTGCATGCTAACAGCATGGCCCCGAACACCAGGATGTCTATATACAGCATGGCCTCCTGTGCCAACCGTAGTCCTTGAATCTTGATGATCAAAATGAGCTCCCCTTCCTTGAGTGGAGGCATCCATTGCTAAGGTCTTGGTAGGGAGAGGCAGAGGAAAGGGAATGCCGTTGCATACCTGAAGTAGATCTGCCCAGCAACTTAGTGAGGATAGGAATTCTGAAGGAATAGTGACCAAGGAGGTCTATGCTGGGCCCGTTTGGTAGATATACTGATCTCAACCATCCTTGAAGAGGCTGACGGTCAAGTCTGCCTTGCTGAGAGACACAAGTGCATGCTTACATGTATCCCGAGAGTTGAAGTAACATCCTCACTAGTGTTTTGGTATGCATTTGGAGCTGTCTGATCGATCATCATTTAGAATCATTGCTGATGTAAGTATGTTACTGCCAATCTGGAATCTGACACTGTCCTGGTGAATTCCATAGTCTCAGTTGGAGGTCAGAGTGGACTTTGTTGACTTTTAGCCCTAGTGAAGCGAATAGGTGGAATATCAAATGAATTAAGTCAGTTACTTGCTGTGGGGATTTTCCCTAAGCCAGACAGTTCTTCAGATAAAGGATAAACTTGTATGTCTCACCTCCAAAGATGTACAGCCAGTTTGACCAGGAATTTGGTGAAGACCCAAGGAGCTGCTGAGAGGCTGAAAGGCAGGACTCCATAGTGCTCCTATGAGAAATCATGGGTACTTCCTGTGTACCAGATGGATAGAGATGTGAAAGTGTGTGTTTTGACAGTTGAGAGTTGTGAGCCATTCCACAGGATCCAGGTAAGGTATCATGGAAATTAGGGAGAAAATACAGAATTTAACACAATGAACAAATGTTGAGACATCAAAGGTCAAGGACGGGGTGTTCAATCTCCTTAATGCCAAAGAAGAAAGAAGTGAAACCTTTCCTTTGAACATTAAGCGCACTTTTTCCACTTCTCCCAGTTGTAGCAGGGAGTCTACCTATTGTTTCAACCATCTCTCATGAGAGGGGTCCCTGAAAGGAGACAGAAGGGAGCAGAGGTTGCAACAGTGTGCAACTGGATGGATACTCCTTGCTTACTATACAGGACCCACTGGTCCTAGATTATCCCATTCCAAGACTCTTGGTGAGGAGAAGTGGGGGAGGCAACAAAGGAAAAAAAAGATCCATAGGTGGTCCGATCAGTCGCTCTATATTCATGCGAAAACTGAAGGGTGTTTTGGGAGGAGAGGGTTGGTTTGTTTGTTTTTTTAAAAAACAGACTGTCCAAGTCACAGGGTGGTCAAAGAGGAATTTCTGCTTCTTCCTCAGAGGTTCTGATGGTCATTTATTAAGAATAGTACCGGGGCAGAGATTGTGTGCCTATAGTAGAGCTGCTACCTCTGTTTTCTCGGCAAGGTGGAGACGTAGAGTCTTAAAAAAGTCACTTCTATCCTTGAGACTATAAAGAACTTCAACTGTGCTCCTGCTAAACAAGTCAGTACTTTCAAAAAGGGAGATCTTCTATTATTAACTTTATCGTCTGAGGGATCCTAGATGCTTGTACCTATGAAAAACACCTTATGGCAGCAGCTGACATCATAATCCCTGCCACTGCATCGGAATCATCAAATGCAGCCTGTACTGAACTTCTTGCACTATGTTTACCGACTGACAAAGGTCTTTAAGCTCATCCTGATGGACTTTTGGCAGTTTAGCAAGTAGCTTTGAGAACCTAGCCCAGAAAAGGAAGCCCTATTTACAGAACAAGGCTTGATAGTTGGCCTCTCTAATTTGGAGGCTCACAGAAGAAAGGACCCTTATGACCTAAGAGATTCAGTTTCTTAGGACCCTCCTCACAAGGAGTGATTCTGGGAGCTCTCTGTTTCAACTTCTTGAGCTGCCTGTACAACTAAGGACCTTGTGGTCAGGTGCAGATAGATATAGTCTAACTCCTTGGCTGGGATCTCCTATCTGCCCTCCTGGAGATGGTGGGATAGACACTGAAGTGTGCCAGATAGTTTTTGTGACTTGAGAAGGCCCTGGTTCATAGGCAATACTAGTCTGCCTGGTGTCATCGTGAGAAGTATCTCTGTCATAGGGAGGCCCTAGCCCTTTAAGAGGGAGCAGGGCCAATGGATTTGAGACTCATCAGTAAGGTTACAATGTCACAGAGGTCATGAAATCCATGATTTCCAGCGACCTCCGTGACACTGGGAACCCCTGCAGCTGACCAAACATCCTGTAGTGTGAAAAACTGCTATCAGTGAATTTGCTACTTAGGGTATACTGAGCATGCTCAGTAACATCTGCTGAAGCCAGCAGAGGGAGACCCCTGCAGGAGCTCAGCCTCCGCTGGCTGTGGGGTACCCCCTCTTCAACTGCCTGGCCGCCATCAAGGGGGACCC